TGGGCGATTTTGATGATATCAAAACCCTAGTTCTTCAATTTTTCTACTTATTCCTATTCATATTAGCAAAACGAAGAAATTATATGTGACAAAATTCGAAGGAACCACAAATAAAGAAATCAAACAAGAAGACGTGTTTTGTAAGAAGGAAACGCGAGGAAGAAGAAGATTACGTGAAAACGTGTTTGACAAAAAAATATTTTTAAAAGACCATTTTAGTTAACAAAAATATTCACTCATAGATTTAAGGAACTAGTAACTAATTTCCTAGAAACTACATTCTACGAATCGGTAGATAGTAGATAAAGTGGTAGACATTGCGGTAGAAACTAAATTCTAGACACGGTAGAATATATTGAAAATGGTAGAATGTACTATATGGGTTTGGTAGATGTCAGTCTAAGTCGTAGAACTAATATTCTACGACAATGTAGAACGTAGAGCATGACGCAGAACCTAAATTCTACCCTCGGTAGATAGAGGTGAAATAGGCAGAATCCTAAATCTACCGAATTGTGGCAGCCGTAGAAAGAAAAACTAAAATCATTTTTCAACATGGTTTTTAGCTTTAAAAAATAAAAAATTATATACAAATAACTATTCATGACATATGTTATAATTATCAGATTTTTTAAAAATTTAAAAACCTTTTATTTTGAATTATTTATATTTTCATTAAGGGTAGTATAGACAAAAAGTGGTAAAAGTTGACAAATGTGTATTGGGACATTATATAATTCAATGTGGTATATTTTAGCAAATATCCCTTTTTTTGCCAACGGAAATTGAGATTTTAAAATCGGAAAAGGCCAATTTGTTACATATTTTTGGGAGAATGTTGAAATAGTATAAGATAGAAAATTAGTTTTTAATCTTTTGATACTTCAAAATAATTTTCATCCAAAATAACCAATCCCCTTTGCCAAAAAACCACACTGCCTTTTACATATTTTTAAGGAAAAATAAACCTCCAAGTGAAATAATAAGTTATTAATAATATATCTTTGTGTTCTAAAAAATGAGCTAGTCAATTAAGGACTAGATCGTACAGATGATGTTGATTAGGGTTCAACGTTAAACGACTACACTTCGTATATCTTAAGAAAAATATCAGATATGTGATGTATATGCAAAATAAATTAACTATACCTTTAAGATATCTGGCTTAAGATTTTTGAAATTAAACTACGTGAATCTGAATCAAATATCAGATATGTGATACTCATATGTATTTGTATAACCAGATCCCGTCTTGAAGACAAGCCACCTATTAGTGGTTTTAAAACTTTTAATTGTATGATTTTTGGGATTACATAGTGATTTGTTTTGAAATTGATAAATTGCATGGAAGTGGTGTGTTACATACATGCATCAATTTCCTAGATTTTTTTCTGTCGATTTTTATTTAATGAACGGATGTGGTGTGTTACATGCATATTTTTGTGAATGGATGTGGTTTGTTACACGCATCACTTATATATATTTTATTTATTTTATCTCTTTCATTTGTTCTTCCTCTAATATCACCTTTTTCTCCCTTTCTATTTAAAATTTGAAAATGAAACTGTTTTCGATGTATTGAATTATAATATTGTTAAACATTCAAATCGATATAAATGTTTAACAAAAAAATTAACATAAATAACTATTTCAAAGATTTTTAATATTTTTGAATAACAAGTAAGGGACAAGTTCATACACAATCAACAAACATGTAAAATTGGAACAACATGATTGAAAGTGTTATTTGACGGTTCTTCGACGCTTAAGTTAGATAAAAGCAAAAAACGATGAAAAGAAAAGACCATGGGGAGGACGTGGAAAGCAAGGAAAAATAATCGGAAAACGAAGAAAAAGGAAAATGGTGACACTAGGTGAGTAAGAGATGGTCCGCAATGTATCATAACGATTAAGTAGAGATTTTATGTGAGATAGAGAAAAAATATAGTATTTAAATAAAGATAAATGGAAAGATGACCGGAAAGAGAAATCCAAAATATGCTAGAGAGATGACTTTGAATGGTCGGAAGAGACTAGGCTCTCAGAGAATGATCCTTATTCCCGAGAGAAAAGTGGGCTCAGTGTTCCGTGTGCCACTTTCCTTTGATTGTGGTTAATTGTACTTCTGACAACTCGGTTCCCAACCCAAGTCTTCTCTGGTTGGATGTCTACGCCATCATTGGATGTTTTTTGAGGTTCAACATACACTTTGTTTGTTTCTTACTTGGTTTTTGATATTGTTTAAACTTCAACATACTCTATGAAGATGATAAGCTAAACAACTTAAGTAGAGTCGTGCCTAGAAATATGTTCTAAACAATTATCAAAGAAGGGAAGCCAACTTTAGTGAAAATTCGATCGCAAAGAAAACATCTATTTTTCTTATGTAATATGCTACTCTAAATCGTAGTACTCTTCAATGATTGTCACCATATGTTGAGAGAGAGAGACTATGTGATATAGTGAAGTTAACTATAGTATGTTTTAAAAAAAAACTAGCAAGTTAATGTTGCATGAAATTGTTATAACAACGAAAGGCCCGAAAGTGGACCAAAGAAAAGAAGACCAAACAAAGAAAGGGGGCCTTATTTTGTCTCTGCAACTGAGGCCCAGAACTTGC